TGGCTTGACCAATGTCGAATGAAGGATCCCTCAATACCAAATAGCCCTGAACCTCTTTGGTTGTCTAGAACCAAGCAATTAAGTCCCTCCATAGTCGTAGATATATTATTTCATGAATTTTTATTATTTTGTTAGGTAGTTTTTTAAAGTTAAAAGCAGTGATCTGACTCGGGAATCAATGATCCTAATTCATATCATTGGATATCTAAGTTATATCCAAATTCTTGTTGTTAAACCAAAATCAAAACATATAGGAAGCATGTTCTTTCTTTTTTTCGGTTTTTTTTTTCTTTCCTCTTTTTACTTTTTGTTCTTGATGTTCAATCCTTTTTTGGTGGATTATTAAAAATATAGGTGGCCAACTAGGCCCTTATAAATGAATAATCGCCATGAAGTAATTAAATTAATGCCCAATTATTTTAGTCAAAAGCGGGCATCATGGCACGCTCTTCAACACCTTTTTTTTGGAGTTCTTTTTCTTCAATTATATGACATTTTTAATAAAACATATATTATTAAATGGTGATAATTAAAAATGATGCAATTTTTATGAGGTCTAGGTTTTATGAAAACAATGTAAAGCCTCACCTCAAATCCTCGTTTGGAAAGCAATTTGGGCATCATAAATCCCCATACTCTAAAATCAATTTTCAACATCAATTATGAAATTTGAAGCTTAAAAAGAAAGGCAAATCTTGCGGATCCATAAATACTTATTTTTAAGGTGAAATAGACCGTCTATAAATGTGTTGCAATACACATTATTTTTAAAACTTGGAGTCTTTTTTTATTTTATTTTTTCCATTATCATAAGAGTCAAGAGATGAGTCGAAGGCTTTCTAACGTCATAACTATAAATTTTTGTGCCGTAGCCGTATCAAAACATTTTCCAATTAAAAATGAGAAGTCAATAATATTGGTTATCAAAGTTACATCACCTTAATCTAACTTGTGAGTTGCCTATTGATAGGGCCTGATTAAGATTTGGGTTAGTTACTTGATTTTATAGTTTTAGGGATTCCACATGCTTAGCCTTTTGTTTTCACAAGAATTATCCTTGGATTGAAAGGTCGGTGTCAAAATTAACTGCTAGAAATTGACCAATGGAAAAGGTCGAGAGATTTTCTTCCCACATTTGGAGGAAACTTGTTAAAAAAAAAAAGAGATTTTCTTCCCACATTTGGAAGAAACTTGTAAAAAAAAAGACTTTTGAAACTTGGGAAGAAACTTGTAAAAAAAAAAGACTTTTGAAACTTGGGAAGAAACTTGTAAAAAAAAAAGACTTCTGAAATGTTAAGCAAAGATTTCTAATATCCAAACGGCCTACCAAATTTGGCTTGAGAGAGAGAGGTGCTTTAGATTGGGATGAGAGAGAGCGGGATATAAGAGGGGGGTATTTTTCTTGAGATCCTATGCTTTTGTTAAAGGGTGTGGTTTTTATAGGCTATGCCCTAAACAATCAAAGTAAGGTACAACTTCAAATAGTATTGAAAGATGCTGTTTTAGTACCTTAAATTTTTATGATGGCTTGAAAATGTATTTTCATATCTAATTATAAAATTTCAAGTTTAAAAAATTGTGTATCAAGCATATCTATGAACACTTGAAAATCTTGAAAATTAATGGTATAAATAATGCATTACAAGATGAAATATTTTCAAAACTTGAAGTCCATTTTTTTTTATGTTCATGTATATCAAGGTTGAGTTGAATGGATTTAACGGTATTTTTTGTATCGAAACAACTTCTTGTACTGAACGTTTTAGGTACGCCTTAATTTTATTGCTTATGGCTTCACCCTTAGATAAACATTTTCTTTGGTTAAATCATTTGTTTTCTTTTCTTTGGTTAAATCATTTGTTTTCTTTTCTTTGGGTAGGTAAAATGAAATTGTATGATATTTATTTAAAATAAATGACGAGAGTGGGATTTGAACCCACTCTTGTTTATTTGGTTATTAATTATAAATAAATCAACTCCTGAGTTTGAATATAAGAGGGGAGACATGTGAGCAATTGCGATTGACAAGTTTTCGGCTTACAAGGGGGAGGAGGCATGTGGGGGGGCTGGTTGGCAAAAATTCTATCTTTTCTCTAGAAATACATATATTATTAATATAAATTTTAAATCATTTATGTCTAAATACTAATTGGACACATATACCATGCTCGGACGGCGGCGTACTGCCCTGTATTTGGGAGGAATTTTTTGTTTTTTTGGTTTGAAATTTTGGAAACTACCTAAGAATCAATAGATTACAATTGTCTTTTTTAAAAAGGTAAATTTTTGTGTTTTTGGGTACTTTGATCTCACCCTTAAAAAATTGGACGGTATTTGCTTGATTTTGATACAATATTTTGTTCTAGTATATAGAGAGTTAAATTAGGGATTTTTTTTTGCTTTTCAAGTGAGGTTGTCTGTGGGTTGAAGAGGCTACATCATGGGATCCTAAAATTACCCATATATTGAATTTACTCGATGGACTCAATGGATGGTATACTCATGTCGGAGTATAAAATTCAAATTTACTTCTTCTTTTTTTTTAAGGTATAATATCCTCATAAACCAAAATTTATCAAGATTCCACATTTTCCAAATACCAAATTCGTTTATTTGAAAACAATACCTTTGAAACAGTGATTCAAAAATCACCTAGGATACATTTGGTACACATGAAAATATTTGCGTGAAAAAACTCTTTCATCTTATTAGATGTGGGAGCTTTTTTCACGCTAGCTTATCCAAGCACTTTTTTCTACACCAATTGGTACACTTATCCGAGCACTTTTTTCTACACCAAGGTGTACACTTAAACTATATGAGGGAGCTTTATGCGTAAAATTTCTTTCGCAGAAGTATTTTCACGGATAGCAAATGTGCCCAAGTCCGACTTGAAATAATCCAAGTGATCTCGGCAAACAAATATTGGTTCTAGCGAAACATATTCTATTTTTCAAACACTATCCAAAATTCTACAGAGCACATCTACCATGCTCCAACTGGAGCATACTATACTTACTCCCTTATGCAGAAGACTAACTTGGAGATTTTTTTTTATCCATAATTGTGGAAAACACTTAAAAGCCACCAGGTGATTATCTTCAAAAGAAAAACAAATTGAATTTTTGAGTTTTCTAATACTTAAATCTCACGCTCTAAAAATTGAATGGTTGCAATTTACAAGGTTACATTTCTAAAATTTGGGATCCTAAAACTACTCTAAATTAGGTTTTGCCTGAGGAAGTCAATGGAGAGTATGCTCCTAGGGGGAATGAAATGTTCAGGAACCCTAAACATATTAACCGCTCAAATATTTTTAGAAAAATAAAAAGATAAAAATTAACTTTTATTTCCTTTTTCATTTTATTTAGGTCCATTGCGGTATCATTTAACCGAAATTTGGACGACATTTTGGAGGCTTTTCGGATGTGCATCACCTTACCGGTGACACCGGCAATAACCGGTCGCAAAGGCCCCGAAATCGAACGGTTGTATGATGGTGGCTTAAACGTTGAACAAGTCTTAAAGAATTAAACGGCCGATGCTTTCCAATCGTTGTCTAAGGGGAGGACTGCCGCTCCATTATTGTGGAAGCCGCTCGTGCTTTAAATCTAAGACTTTGTACTTTCTGGGTCCGACCTTTCCCGTGTGAAATACGGTTAGCAAGCGGTTAAGTAAGGACAAATTACTGATATAACCCCCAAAAATTCACAATTGCAGTTCTACTCATGGGATATCATTTGCACAATTAATTAATAAAACGCCATTTTGTTCACTATAGCCTCTTTATTGTTTTGTTCTTTTTTTTTAAAAAAGAAAATTTGTGTTGGGTTATTTTTCTCATGGATATTTTTATGAGGTTGAGAATGTTTTTCACCAGGAAAAACCTTAACAAATCTTTGAAATATTGAGTTAAATCACATAAATAGGCAAAATTAATTTTTGGTATTTTTCATTACTTTTGGCAATTGTCCTTTATTGCCATATTTAAGGGGTGTTCATTTTTTATTTTTTTTTGGTAAATAAGGGGTGCTCATTAACGCATAATTTTTAGACTATATTTAATTAAATTCTCGATTTTTAAGGGTTAGTGGTAAAGTGCCTTAATTAACCATCATTGTTTTATTTGTTATTTTGGATGGTTAATTGCTTCCAACAATACCCCAAAGTGAATGTCAAGTTTTTTTTCTTTGATGAGGTTTGACTTTTTTTCCTCTATTGTATTTTCCTAAATTACCTATTAATTAAGAGAAACTATGACACCTAACATTTGGAATTTTGAACTAGTTAACATCGATGCTCTTGATCTAATTTATAATATCACGTCATGTTTAATCAAATGTAAATAACAACAAATGATACATCAAATAAGGTTTTGAAATTTATCGGATTTTTTGGTAAAATATTAAATGGTTCTACTTATAGAGATTATTTCGACAATTTTTTCCAACATCTAGTTAGTCGATTGCAACATAGAATGCAGATGAATGAGTTTTTTCCCACTAAATTCAAACCAAATTTAAAATTCTATATCTTATTATTTAATAATAGTGAATTTTATCATGAAAAAAGTATCAAAATGCATGCAACACATTAAGTGTCCAACATTTACCTATTTATTTTGATTTAATTCAAAAAATTTAATAGGTAAAAATAAGTAAAAGAGTTAAGTAGTAATAACTTAGGATAAATTTCTCATGTGAACTAGGATAGGAATCAAGATTCTTAGTTTATTGAGGGTAGAATAGGAATCACACATAAATATGTCCTCCATTCGTAGAAGCCTTTTCTTGGAAACCTGACCACCGGCGGTTGACTGTTGCAAAAGGTCGGCGTGGGTCCCACAATGGAACATCGTCCTCGCTACGTTACAGTGGGCGGAGAAACGATTCCCTAGGCCAACCGACACGTGGCGGTCATCTAGGGCTGGAGGCGGGCCCTCGCTAATGCGCAATATTTAGGAGGTGCTTAACTCCGGGTATAAAAACCGCGCCTCTGGGGCAAACTCCATAAGAAAAGGGACCAAAACTCAGCCCTGGTTTTTCTCTATCTCTCTAAACTCTTCATCTCCCCAAACTCTATCCCTAATATCTCTCTCTAAAACTAGGGTTTCGTTCTGGTGGAAACTAGGGTTTCGGGGTTTTGCTGAGGATATAGGTTTTTTTTTTCCGTCGGTCGGCTCTGGTTTGTGAGTCCAGTAGTTTTTCACTGGAAAATGACGGGAATTTGGGTTTTCCTGCTTTGATATGGAGGTTTTGGAGTTCTGTGGTGTTCGATTGTTCTAGGTTTTGAGTTTGAGGAAGAGTGCTCAGGTTTTCCTATTGTTTTGGTGCGGCATGGGGATCAGTCTTGAGCAGATTAAGAATGAAGCCGTGGATCTGGTAAGAAACTTGACGAACTAGAAGTGGACTTACTTATCTGTTGATTTTTTTTTATTCGGGAAGAATCTGTTGCTTTTGATGATTAGTGTTTGTTTTCAGTGAAATTTGAGTTTATTTTGGTTGATTTTGAGAAAAAATAAGGGTGGCTTGGGTTTCATTGAATTTTTTGATCGGGTAAATGTTTTATTAGATGTTTTCTTTCGTTTCATTTGATCGGGTAAATGATCTTAGAAAGGAAAGTTGATGTTGAAGCTCTTGACTTTCTGAAGATTTCAGTTCATTTTTGGTAGCCTTTCAATTATTTCCTTTTTTTTAAAAAAAAAAAATATTTGAGTTCATTTTAGGTAGATTTTTAATTATTTAGGGATGAATTTCGATTATTTTAGGTGGATTTTGAATTATTTACGGATGAATTTTGAATGCTTTTAGGTGGATTCTGAATTATTCTGGGATGAATTTCTTTAGTGATCAAGAGAACCACTGGTTCTCAAGTATTCCTCATACGATTGTGTTTCCTTTCATCATTTTATTTTTATTTTTATTTTTATTTTTGGACCTTGTAGTGCTCAAGGTTATCTGGCCATATTGAGATATTTTATTTTTTTTCTGGATATTTAATAATTTTTTGCTCTTTTTAATGCACGGTAGCGCCATGGCTTTCTTAAACAATCAGTTTCCTGTTAATTGGGTTGAAAAAGAGAAGAACTTTGCCCCAAAAAGTGAAGGAATTATGGTTTCTGTGCTTTACCTGTTTATTATCTTTTTCGAAGAACTGCAATAGAGATCAAATAGGATCGAAACAAACTTCGCAAAAAAAGGCAGAGAAAGCTCGATCTGTGGACTCTCTCCGTTTCTCTCTCTATTCCTCTATTTATTATTGTCTGTCTCTATTTTCTCTCTCATTCTAGTTTCTCTTTCTAGTCCATCTCTATTTTCTCTCTCATTCTAGTTTCTCTCTTTCTAGTCCATCTCTATTTTCTCTCTCATTCTAGTTTCTCTCTTTCTAGTCCATCTCTATTTTCTCTCTTTCTAGTCCATCTCTATTTTCTCGCTCTAGTTTCTCTATTTTTTTTTCTCTCTCTAGTGTCTCTTCGTTCAAGACGTCTCTCGTTCTGTACACTCTAGAAAATAAGTTCTTCCGTATTTTTTCTGTCCTATTTTCCCGAATTTGATTTGATTTCCTTTCCATTTCAGAGGATTGATATTTTGTTGTTTCTTCCTTTTTATGGTTAATATTCTTATATTCATTGAACAGTTCTTCGCAATAGATGGTCACTGCTATTTGCTTTTTCGGTTGAAAGTGCGGCATGCGCTATTTTGTGCGGTTTGGACTTTGGACCTTGGACTTTGGAGGAATCTGATTCGTTTTTTATTATTAAAGCACAGGTTCCGGGTGCGTCGGATTGTGCAGAAATAAGTAATGAGGTCTTGTTTGTTCAGACTCGAGAGAGACCTTCTGTGGTTTCTCTCTCTTCTTTTTCATCTCCACAAAAGAGAATATAACCCTAACCCTATAAATTTTCCAAATGACGGAAACTTTGAAGTCCTTTTATATAGTCAGTGCCACTTCAGGATTGTTCACCTTATAAAATGATGTGCTAGAAAGACTTTCGAAGTGTCAATTTTTTTTTTCTTCATATTTTTCAAAGTGTCAATTCTATGTGAATATCAAAGTTTTCGTCCTCTTATTTAACCAAGTTGCACTTTTTAAATTGGGTCATCGCCTTTAAAGCTTTTTTTTCGATTAATAAACTGTCTTTTTGCATCATCATTGTTAAAGCTTTTTTTGAATTAATTGGGATGGGTCAGCCCATCCCAATTGTTAATTTAATATTGACATTTTTATCATGCACGAGGATCAAATCTAATATATACTATTCAGATACACTGGAAAGGTCTATAGAGTTGCTGTGAGACAAATTTTTATGAATTTATTGTCCTGATTATTTTTAAGATCCCCAATTACAATATTTTTTTATGCAAGTCAAAATCCCCAACAGTAGTGTCATTTACCAAAAAGATAGGGCTACTCCTAAATACAGGGTTTAATTTGGCCGATTCGTTAAAAGTTGGGAGTCCTTTTCTATGAGAAATATGTCCTATTGATTTCTTTTTGTTCTTTAATATTTGATTCTTTTATATATAATCAATAGTGGAGGTGGGTCCTCTAATTCGAAATTTTCTTTACAACACCCAACATGTTCTTTGTATGTACTCTTAACAAAGTAACAAGCATTTTCCTTTAGTTTATGCTTTGTACTCGGATGTACATATTCGTACACCAGAGAGCGCCACTCCTTTCTCCTTCCGGTCTATCGTCCTGAAGTTACCTCCAGTAAAGCTCATCTAAGCAAAAAGATGCTTCTCTTTTGTCCACTTGGGAAATTTAATATTTTTGTCCGACCCGAATCGCCAACTAGGCCTGTTAGACTCTGACCAATGGGTAACCGGACCAGTTATCCGATTTCTTAGACACAAGGCGTCACTCTGTTTTTACCTCGCAATAAACCCAGTGACCCAGTTGTAAAACCGTCGAAAGTTTTTGGTTTTTGGGTTTGGGGTTTTCACCCAGCTACTGGGATGGGGTTTCCACCAACCTACTGAGATGGAATAGAGAAGCTTGCGCTGCCATGGTTTTGGGTTTTGGTGGGTTTAGTAGTGGGGTGTTTGCTGTGATATTCCTTCACTGATCTGGGGCTTTGGTACCAGGAACACATACCCATCGAGGAAGTCTTCGAGCAGCTGAAATGCTCAAAAGAGGGTCTCACTTCAGACGAAGGAGCCAACCGGCTCCAGATCTTCGGACCCAACAAGCTAGAAGAGAAGAAGGTGGGTTCTTTTATTTAATGTCGTGTTTTGTGTTTTAGATTGTTTTGTTTTCTTTAGAAAAATTTTTATACCCTTTGATATGGATTAATTTGAGGGTTCCTGATAATCAATTGCAGGAGAGCAAAATCCTCAAATTCCTTGGTTTTATGTGGAATCCTTTGTCATGGGTCATGGAGATGGCTGCTTTGATGGCTATCGTCTTAGCAAATGGACAGGTGGGTAGGGAAACAATTTGTAATCGGCGAATTCGTAGAACAGGTTTAAGCAAACTGAGAAATTTCGCCTTTTTCTGTATAATAGGGGAAGCCTCCAGATTGGCAGGACTTTGTGGGTATTGTAGCGTTGCTTGTTATCAATTCAACCATCAGTTTCATTGAAGAAAACAACGCTGGCAATGCTGCAGCTGCTCTCATGGCTGGCCTTGCGCCAAAAACAAAGGTAAGAGTAGCAGGTTTCTAAATATTTCGATTTATTTGAAGGTGGGCTTCTTTGTAATTTTTTGTGTGACATAATCAACAATTCATGCATTGAGGGATGGGGTTAAGTTTGTAGTTGGTTGGATTATAAACTCTCAATGACTTGCTTTTCCCCTTTTTTTGAGGGGTTTTGTATGATATAAGTAAGTATATGCTATCTCGTCTTCTTCCCAAATGCTGCCATTTATCTAAAATCTAAGATCACCCCCTGCCTTAAATAGATTACATGTTCTGCATGAAATCATTAATTGTGGGGGCTGCCGCTCTTTATATGGGGAAGTCCTCAATCTCAATATCCGCTTCATCATAGCATTATCCCAATTATTTGGGGTCAGCTAGGCCTCAATCTCAATCTCAATGACTGTTCTGAATGAGTTAATTTCAATATGACTGTCATTATTGATCCTCTCTTTCTCTATCTCATATCTTCATCTTTAATATGTTCATCCAGTATTGTGTTAACTGGTGCTATTTGGGTTTGTTGCATAGGTCCTTAGAGATGGGAGGTGGAGTGAGCAAGATGCTGCCATTCTCGTTCCTGGTGATATTATTAGCATCAAACTTGGAGACATTGTCCCTGCTGATGCTAGGCTTCTCGAGGGTGATCCATTAAAGATCGATCAATCTGCTCTCACTGGTGAATCTCTTCCTGTTACCAAGAGTCCTGGAGATGAGGTTTTCTCTGGTTCCACCTGCAAGCAAGGGGAGATTGAAGCTGTGGTCATTGCCACTGGTGTTCACACCTTCTTTGGAAAAGCTGCTCATTTGGTGGATAGCACCAACCAAGTTGGTCATTTCCAAAAGGTTTGCTTGTGAAATCCTCTTGTTGTGTTAGCTTGGTCTTTTGCTATATATGGACCTTCTTTGGAAAAGCTGCTCATTTGGTGGATAGCACCAACCAAGTTGGTCATTTCCAAAAGGTTTGCTTGTGAAATCCTCTTGTTGTGTTAGCTTGGTCTTTTGCTATATATGGTTTATCAGTGTTCTAAGACTTGGGCAAGTCCACTAGGATTCAACCAAGTTGCTCGGACTCGACAGGGTGCTGAGTTTGTAAGGAAGCAGCCAAACCTGCCTGCTTCCTATATTTTACTAATATTACTTGTACAGACTCAGCCAAATCTCTGACAAACTTGGCTTCTGTGCAGATGACTCGGGACTCAGGACCCTACTGAGTCTTGAGTCCCAGCCTTCTTTTTGAACATTGATGGTGTGTTATGTCAAGAAGAGATTTGAAAGTTATTATGAGGATATACTCTGCATGGTATTATTTTTGAAATTTTCTTTTGGTGTTTTATCTCCAGGTTCTTACAGCCATTGGCAACTTCTGTATCTGCTCGATTGCGATTGGAATGATTGTTGAGATCATTGTTATGTATCCCATTCAACGCCGAAGGTACAGAGATGGAATTGACAATCTTTTGGTTCTCTTGATTGGAGGCATCCCAATTGCCATGCCCACTGTTTTATCTGTGACCATGGCCATTGGTTCACATAGACTGTCTCAGCAGGTAAAGTAGTTAATCTTTAGTGGGTGTTGATCTCAAATGGTTACTCCTTTACAAATCTCTCAAACTATTTTTTATCGCACTGAGCAGGGAGCTATCACAAAAAGAATGACGGCCATAGAAGAGATGGCTGGCATGGATGTCCTCTGCAGTGACAAAACGGGAACTCTAACTCTTAACAAACTGAGTGTTGACAAAACTCTCATTGAGGTAATTTGGTTTTGGGTGGATTCAACTTTGGAATTTAAATTATTCTCTCTCAAGATTGTGATGCATACGGGAATGGTGCTGAAATTTCAGGTCTTTATTAAGGGTGTGGACAAAGAGCATGTGATCTTGCTTGCAGCTAGAGCATCTAGAACTGAGAATCAGGATGCAATTGATACTGCCATAGTTGGGATGCTTGCTGATCCTAAAGAGGTAATACCAAAGAATCTCAAGTCTTGTCATATGATTTTATTGATTTTATTTAAAGTGATCAGCAGTTTCATTGAAATTTTTGAGGTCCACAGGCTAGGGCTGGTATTAGAGAGATTCATTTTCTACCATTTAATCCAGTGGACAAGCGAACTGCTCTCACCTACATTGATTCCAATGGCAATTGGCATCGTGCCAGCAAAGGTGCCCCTGAGCAGGTAAAATTGATGCTTTCTATTCTGGTGTTTCATTCAAAACTGTTCTTCTAAAGAAATTGTTTCTTATAAAGGAACTATAATATTTGACCATTAGATTATGGTTTATAATGGTTCTTGTCATTCTTATTGTCCGTTCTTGTCATGGGAAACAGATATTGAGCCTCTGCAACTGCAAGGAAGACGTTAGGAACAAGGTGCACTCTGTGATTGATAAATTTGCAGAGCGTGGGCTTCGTTCTTTGGCTGTTGCTCGACAGGTTATTAATTGGAACTTTCATTCTTCCTGATTGATTAAAATTTGATATTGGACTATCAGTTCGATCTCAACGTCTAAACAAAATAAATTCTTCTATGTACTTCAAGGAGCTTGTAAGCTCTCAATTTGTAGCTTGCACTTTCCGGATTTGTTCTATTTTTCATATAGCTATGACTACATATGGAACATTGCTAATATAATTTAGTTCAAAAACTGATGCAGGAAGTGCCTGAGCAAACAAAGGAGAGTCCAGGGGCACCATGGCAGTTTGTTGGTTTATTGCCGCTGTTTGATCCTCCTAGACACGACAGTGCGGAAACCATTCGAAGGGCTCTCAACCTTGGTGTAAATGTGAAAATGATTACTGGTATTTTGGTTTTTCTCTACCCTTTTTGGATCTCAGTTTGGACTTATGTTTTCTTCCTTGTTCTCACATTTTGAGGCGGCCGTATGTTCAGGGGATCAGCTTGCTATTGCTAAAGAGACGGGCCGTCGGCTTGGAATGGGTACCAATATGTACCCCTCCTCCTCATTGCTTGGCCAAGACAAGGATGCCTCAATTGCCGCTCTTCCTATTGATGAATTGATTGAGAAGGCTGATGGATTCGCTGGAGTTTTCCCTGGTGGGGTCGCATAGACAATCAATTGGGCTTATTTGTTTTTCACAATTATTTGAATTTTGATAAAATTTTAATTAACTTCACTACTCATAGCAGCTTGATCTTTTAACTAACCTTTCAAACTCCCAATTATTTACACATTTTATAGCATTTCGATCCTGCTGACCCCAAATAATTGGGATAAGCCTCGGATGATGATGATAGCATTTTGATCCTAAGTTCCTAACTCATGTGAACTGTGGAACAGAACATAAGTATGAGATTGTTAGGAGGCTCCAAGAGAGGAAACACATTTGTGGAATGACTGGTGATGGAGTGAATGATGCACCTGCTTTGAAGAAGGCAGATATTGGAATTGCTGTTGCTGATGCTACTGATGCAGCCAGAGGTGCATCCGACATAGTTCTCACAGAACCTGGGCTTAGTGTCATTATCAGTGCAGTCTTAACCAGCAGAGCTATTTTCCAGAGGATGAAGAACTACACCGTAAGCACAAACCATCCGAATTTTCAACCATCTCTTTTGCATCATTACTTCACTAGTAATTACATCAGAAACTTATTGATTCGGTGTTCATTTTGGCCCCTTATCTTTGCAGATCTATGCAGTCTCCATTACAATTCGAATTGTGGTAAGTACATATTCTTCATCGCATTTTATTGGATACTGGTATTCACAAAATATGACATTTCAATATTTGAATTTCAGTGGTTATTTAATTATCAATGGTTTTAAAAATAGTCTGCCCGGCGCCTAGGCGCCTACCTAGGCGGCCTGGACTAAAATACCGCACGCCCAAACCTAGGCGGCCCTACATGGGCGCCCAGGCTGGCCATGTGGGTGCCTAGGCAGGTGCCCAAGGACGTGGTTTTTCTTTTTTTTTAAAAAAAAATGCCCAAAAGGGAAAATGGGGTAATTTTGAAGTTTAAATAGGTTATGGGGGTTATTTTCATCCCTCGAAGTTGAAAAGAAAATTTCTTAAACCCTCAATCTCTTAGTTATCTCTTAGCTATACATGTTTCTGTTAATCAAAAGTATTTTTTGTTGTTTGAAGAACTTTCGTAAAGTTTTTCATTTATTATGAAATATGGAGAGTTGGAGACTATTACTAATACATATCCTATTAGACTTTTAAATTTTGTATGGTTTGAGTTTTGAAATTTTGAACAAATTTATTCTCAACATGCGACGTCATATTTTTGTACATAAAAAAAATATGTTACAATAGTTTCAAATGTAATAAATTCTAAAGTTGACACAAATATATGTATATATGCTACATATCTACATTACTTGTACAACAGGGCGCCTAGGGGCCGCCTAGCGTTTTTTGAAACCTTGTCAATTATCGAAGAAAATAATTTTACATCCGTCCTGATTGTTCTATTTCCTTGAATATTACAGTTGGGTTTCATGCTAATTGCATTGATATGGAAATTCGACTTCTCACCCTTCATGGTTCTAATCATTGCCATACTTAATGACGGTGAGTACTTTTCACATGGCTGAACTTTTTGAACCAGTTTGGGACCACCTTTTATTGTTACCTTTGCATTTGGATTACCCTTCCTTGCCATCTTCATTGATTTTGTTTTCATGTGACCACTTTTGACTTTAGGAACAATCATGACAATCTCAAAGGATCGCGTGAAGGCATCCCCCCTGCCTGACAGTTGGAAATTGAAAGAGATATTTGCAACTGGTGTTGTCCTTGGGAGTTATCTTGCATTGATGACTGTTGTTTTCTTCTGGGCTGTGCATGACACTGATTTCTTTTCGGTAGGTTAAACTTTACCCAACTTGTTTAAAAAGGAGATTCTATTGCGCATTTCAAACACGGTGACAAGTGAAACATTTGAATAGATTTTGAGCATATCACAGAAATTTAATTAAATTCTGATTGTAAGTGTTTTTCTTTCAAAACTTAGTGGCTTATATTTGTGGAATTTGTTGAATTTCAGCAAATAATTATCCATATATTCCATAGCAAAAATATAGAAACATAGATCACATGAAGAGGCATGCTACCTTTTTGCTATGTGAAAACTGGGTCTCATATTTTAAGTTGTTAATTTTTGCAAAGAAGAGGAATACTTTTATGCATCTTTGTAGAATAACTTGAAGACATTATGTGAAGAATGCTTAATTGATTTTCCTTTTTCTTTGGATAAGAATAAGAACCGCCCATTATCACGATTTCCATGGTCCGGGAGTATCATCTTATCATCATCAGAGCCTTTTCCCGACTAATTGGGGTTGGATACACAACTCCCGGTCCGCTATTCTGTTCTATTAAGGGTCATACTTTCAGTTAGGCCATAAGTCCCTATATCTTTTCTCGCTATTTCTAACCATGTCCTTTTGGGTCTCACCCCTTGCCTTTTTTGAGCCTTACATTTAAACTAACTCACATCTCTTAACAGGCGCTATACTTAAAAATTCAGTTCTACTCTTGAGAGGGGAAATGAAAAGGGTTTAGAAATAGAGCACTTACTTTATTGTGGTGCAAAAGGTGCGCCATTTTTTTTGGGTTGCTGAATTTTAACCTTGTTGCTCTGTGTTGGCACTTGCAGGAAAAGTTTCATGTGAGACGAATAAGGGACAGTGAACATGAAATGATGGCTGCTCTGTACTTACAAGTGAGTATTGTGAGCCAGGCTCTCATTTTCGTCACCCGCTCTCGAAGCTGGTCCTTCGTCGAACGACCTGGACTCCTCTTGGTCAGTGCTTTCTTCGTGGCTCAGTTGGTAAGTTTCCGCCCCTCTGACAATAATTCTTTTATGGAAAGTAACCTTTTACCTCCAATTTCAGAAGTTGACTTTTTATTATTCAAACTTAATTATTGGAAAAGAAAAAAAAACCTAGAATTTTGAATACACTGGTTCACTTTTTGGGACTTAGGACGAGTCTCAATAGCTTGACATGTAATATGAGCAGATCAATTTTGGCTTTGTAGACTCATGATCACTTTTTTGTATTCTTGTTTTACATTCGTCTAGACTTTACTTATTCCAAGCCTACAAAACCTCTCCCTTCCTCCCTCTCTCTCACTCTTGACAAGTCTGGAAACTGATTAATGGGTTTCTTCAGGTGGCTACCCTTTTGGCAGTTTATGCAAACTGGGGTTTCGCAAGAGTCAAAGGCATTGGGTGGGGTTGGGCTGGAGTTATTTGGATCTACAGTATTGTCTTCTACGTGCCACTTGACTTGATCAAGTTTGCCGTCAAGTACATTCTAAGTGGAAAAGCTTGGGATACTCTGCTAGAGAAGAAGGTGCTCTTTCTCACTCTTACATCTCTCTCTATATCTCTCCCACCTCCCTATATATATGCCCAAGAGTTGATGCATTAGTATTACGACCAACGGCCCATATTTGATCCAATCTGGTCAGACGGTTAAGATTGAGTTTCATATTTGAATTTCAATATGTTTTATTCAAATAACTTGAAATTTTGAGAGTCCACTGTTCTCAATAAGGCACACCAAATAAGTAAATAAATAAAATTACAATTAAATTAAACAAAATACCCCTGAATGTTTTGGGGGTATTTTGGTATAATTATTTTTTATAAAATATATTTTGTATTTTTATTATTAGCAACTATTTTCAAGAGTGGACACTTCAAATTTCAAGTAATTTGTATTTATAGACAAAAACTAAAATTTAATAATAAAACCTGACCATGACTGTCTATTGAATCTAAGCCATTGGGTGTGGTACTATATTGTCATTGTTTAGGCTAAAAAACCATTCTTTGTAATTAGTTATATATAGAGGTTGTATACTATAAGGCCATCTACATTTGGTGCAAGAAGGTGACAATGACCCCCTAGTCATCAGATGTGAAATCCCTACTGCTGTTACAAATATCTAAAAGAGCTTTTGGGAGTTGGAGCCCATTCAAAAGCGAGCCCTTATATTTCATTAAAGTTGGTTCTTGGGTTTTCTTTAGAACTATTTTAGTGAGATTGAAACTTTAGGAATGCATCTTAGCTTTTTAGAACTCAGAGGAGATCAATTGCGTCATCATTGTACATCAATTGGTTTTGTTTTGTTTTGGCAGACTGCTTTCACTAGTAAGAAAGATTATGGAAGAGAGGAGAGAGAAGCTCAGTGGGCTCTTGCTCAACGTACACTGCACGGCCTCCAGCCCCCTGAAGCTTCAAATCTTTTCAATGAAAAGAGCAGTTACAGGGAGCTCTCAGAGATAGCAGAGCAGGCCAAGAGGCGGGCTGAGGTTGCGAGGTATATTCTCCTTTTACTCTCATTTAAAAAGAACTCACACCCTCTCTAAAGTCTAAACTGAGCACACACTCTCTCTCTAGACTACATAAAAGTTGATGAACAAAAAAGTTAATCTCTCTTCTCTCTCTTAATATGCATGGAAGTAGATGAGCCCTATAGAATGAAGTATCTTTCCTAAACTATTAAGTGAAAATCTCTCTCGCTCTCTCTCTCTCCCCCGTGCTAAAGTTGATTGATGAGCATCTTAAAGTAAATCACTCTCTCTCTAAGCTACATGAGAACTTATGAATATAGTGTGAATACTCTCTCCAATTTACTTTGAAGTAGTTCAACATTATAAGATGAATTCGCTCCCCTACATGCATGAAGATTGATGAACATCATAGATGAGTATTCCCTCTCTTTGCTTCTTTGCTGAACTGGAAACTTGATAAACACCAAAGAGCCATTCTCTCTGAATTGTTTGTATTGGGTCCAAACACTAACATTGGTGGCTTGTACTGTTTCATAGGCTTCGAGAGCTGCACACTCTCAAGGGGCACGTCGAGTCGGTTGTGAAGTTGAAGGGGTTGGATATTGAGACAATTCAGCAACATTACACCGTGTAAAACACTTTAGACAGGATTCACAATCGTGTTAGAGAGAGAGGGATGGATTGGAAAAGGGGGAAAAGTGAGATCCCATAGGCTAGAATTAGATCTTGTTTTGGGGGTGCACTATAATGCTTTTAGCTTTTGCTGTGTTAAAATTTGGCAGTGAGAAGGCGAGGCGCCTAAGGCTGCTGCTTCTATGTAAAACCAAATAATCTGAAGCTGAAATTTCTATCTATTTTTTTTTTCCTCTTTAAATTGGATGTATCTTTGTTTTGGGTTATTCTCCATGACTCTTTCTCACACTTTACTCTCTATCTTAAAACTTCATCAAAAGAGTAATGATGGGATTGTACTGTAAGGTCAAGTTCATAAACACCCATACCCATTAGATGAATGGCGTTGTGACAGAAAATATGAGGAAAACTCTTTTGGGACTTTTAGCTTAGCCAAATGCAAATTCTTAATAGCGGAATATCACATCCAATGGGTCAGGGTATTGGATCAGGGTGATTGTGACCTTGTACTAAAACCAAAAATAAATGATCCAATCATCACTTTCCTTTTTTGTATATGATGCGTGCCTTGGATGTAAACATTTCATATTCTTATTTTTAGCCTAAGGTATATAAATTATGATTTGTGTTTCTACTTTCAGTCTTAACATAGATATTTTCCTTGGTCAAGTAAATGTGAGGGAAAAGAGACAGACTATGAACTAGTGATGTGAAGTGAGTCATGTATATAGCAAAAAAAAAATGTTGACATGTAAAATGTCGTGCATGGAATTAGAGCTGGGTGGGTGAGATGGAGATTTGAAATATATGATCGCCGCGTACCAATGAAGCTGAAGGGGAAGTCCTATAAGACAGTTGTGAGATCAGCTTTGTTTTATGAAGCAGATGAATGTAGTTGAAGTAAAGATGTTGAGATAGATGAGTAGCAAAATTAGACAGGTCATTCAATCAGTTAGGGATTTAGTTAAGTTAAAACAGGTTTAACCATTGGTTGAACGAATTAGACTTTTCTTTTATTTAAATCAAGAAGATACAAAAATATTACCCATAAAATATAAAATATTTTACAAAAGTTGCTCAAGACCATATTGGTCAAGTTAATGATCAACTATTTGACAGGTTCGAATGTCCAACCTTGCTAACATTAGTGTACCATGTGACATTCGCCAGTAGATGCCTTTGTTATTTAAACTACGATTTCTGCCCCTAGTGAGTGTGACCTAGGTAATCCTTTTCAAACAGAAGCCCATTTCCATTTTATTAGGTGGGCTCAAAAACGGCCCTATTCGTGGGCTTGTAATTCAAGCTCTGTTGCCGTAAAATCCCATTACCTACCCAACAATTATACAGGCCCTATTAACTACACAAGTAGCAGACGTGTTTAGATATTTTTGTGGTCCTTTTCATGCCTCATTGTACAAATGATTGAGGTTTGTGTAAGGTGTCAAACGGCACACCTCAAAACTATGACGAAAGATTCAGTATTGGTGCCTGAAAGCTTTGTGATGGCATAAAAATATATTGCCATCCCTAAAGTTTTAAAAATATTGACGATCAAGTTGATATACAAACACTTGAAAATAATGAAAATGAATAGTCTAGGTAATATATTAGAAGATGAACTATTTTTAAGACTTAAAATCTTTTTTTTTTTCATATCTATGAATCTTGAAGTCGAGATGATCAATTTGAAGGATTTCCAGTATTGAAACAAATTTTTCTGGGGTTTTTTTTAAGGCTCACTTCTAAAATATAATATTGGCCCCTTACATAAATTTTTTCCATGCTGAAAAACCGAATTCCTCCATTTAAATGTCGATTCATCCATACTTCCATTTCTTATAGAGGAAGGCTAACTCCTTATAGAGGAAGGCTAAGTGCTTGCTGGCTAGGAGCTGTATGAGCTGTAATGTCTACGTACGGCTCCATAAGAAGGGCGGTGGACGGAAATGGCCTTCTTGTACCTCACTTCCGTCTTTAATGGGGTCTTGACATTCGTTGGGCTTCCCTCTATGGGAGCCTGCGTCCCGACGTTTTTACAAATTGTTCATATAATGTCATGTAAATGTATATCTCGGTTATTGACGAAACTCAAATATGGGATTACAGGAAATTATGTGATCTTTAGAGCAATGTTAGAAAAATCGTGCGATCTAACCGTTAATCGCCCAATTAGATCGGAAGTGGTCGGTTTCGATTTTCGGCAATTTTGGTGATCAACTGGTATCTACAAAAAAAAAAATTTAAAAATATATATATATAAATTCCCAAAAATAAAAAATTTGGTTTCTAATGTATTTTTTTTATATTCTTTACATTATGTTAAAGATTAAAAATTGTTTTGGTCATTAATACTCACTTTTATATTATTCAATCTTTTTCAAAAAATTTTAAAAATACTCCTAACCACAAATTGATTCGTTAAGTTCCTTTTTTTTCTATTAATTTTCAACTTCATTTGAATGTGTTTTGTTTTAATCATTCTTTATATGCTTTTATATTTAAGTGTTTACTTCTATTTTTTATCTTTTTTATATTTCAACACTTTTTTGACCACCCAGGACTTATCGGGTTAGAACGATTGAATCAGCTGATTTATTGGTTAGGCTAGTTAAACTACTTCCGGACCCATGTCCGATTAACCATTCCAGTTCGATTTTACGAACATCGGTCTAAAGGCTTGGGGTGCCTGATTTTTGGAAGACCATTGCTTGAGGGTAAAGAGTTCAATTTCTCCATGACTGCTCTTTGGTGCAATTAATACAAGTAGAGCATTGGCTCTGAGGGTGCCAAAACTAATTTTTATAGCCATCTAATAGAATTTATCAAGTATAATCCTAATTATTCGAGGTTAATAATCTAATTTAATTAATTAAAAAAATTATATAATTAAATATGCTTATACTATAAGCCACTTTAGAAAGCATAGAATAGTTGGACCTTGGTTTACACATAGTTCAGTCATAAATAGTTGATTAAATTCAAAAAACAAGGAAAAAAAAAAAAAATTGAAATTGTTAGGAAAGGAAAAAAAAAAAAAAGGACGGGATGGGAGGTGGGGTGGTTGTTCGTGACTGCGTGCCACCCCGCGTCAAACGATAATCTAAGCATTCAAGTACTCAAAATTGATTTTTTTTTAAATTTATTTCTTTTTCTATCAAAACCATTTCACTAAAAGTCATCCCAAATAAATTCTTCTAGCCATGCCTTTTGGAGCTTTGGAGGATACATCTCTCTTTTTTCTTGTTCTTATTTTTTTTAAATAAAAGACAAAATCATTTTGATGTAAAATTTGGAACGTATACACTTCTCACAGAGATACACCTAATTAAATAATTTTTTTTTAATAAAAATAAATACCCAAATTTTTATTTATAAAAATAAAATAAAATATATTTATTCACAATTACGAATGAAGCTATTCCAACTATCCATTTAAATCAAAAAATTGAGAATTGGAGTTGTACAAGTTCTAAATGTGCATAGTGCCACATAAAAATATTTCTCTTTTTTAATTTCAACTCTCTTATTTACATGTTTTTTTTGACATGACTCCCTTACCTTTCTACTTTTTTGTCATAACTAAGATTTTGTTATCATAAACCTTAACCCTATCCCCCAACATGGAGACATGAATAAAAAGAGGAGTGTATGTCTCTAATCTCACGAGTCACAACCATTGAAGGGGGTTGCAGTTGGAGGGAGATGGCCTTGAAAAAGCTAAGAGTATTATTGCCCTTGTCTTCCCTTTTGCCCCCCATTTCACACATACCACATCAAGCACTAATGTTGCAAGGACTTTCAACTCTTGTTATGGCATCCACAGAGAGAGAGAGAGAGAGAGAGAGAGAAATGACTTTCAATTATTGTTATGGCATCTAGAGAGAGAGTCTTCCCTCTTTCCTCCATTTCACACTTACCACATCAAGCACTAATGTGCAAAACACTTCCAATTCTTACTATGGCAGAGAGAGAGAGAGAGAGAGAGTCTTCACTCTTTGCCCCCATTTCACACTTACCATATCAAGAACTTATGAGCATGTACTTTCAATTCTTGTTATGGCATCTAGAGAGAGAGAGAGAGAGAGAGAGAGAGAGTAGTTAGACGACAAGTAGTCGACAGTGGTTGGTTACGAGTAGGCGGGTCGTAGAGTGTTCGCTACTTCGTTTACGCCTAGAGACGAGACG